TGGTGTATAAAAAAAACCATAGATTTTTGGGTGTTAATTTTGTATCCTGCTACATTGCCGAATTCATTTATTAAGTCTAGTAGCTTTTTGGTGAAGTCTTTAGGATTTTCAGTGTATAATATCATGCCATCTGCAAATTACAGTTTTATGTCTTCTTTTCTAATTTGGATGCCTTTTATTTCTTTTTCTTGTTTGATCACTATGGCTAGCACTTCCAGTACTGTGTCGAACAGGAGTGGTGAAAGAGGTCATCCCTGTCTTTTTCCTGTTCTTAGGGGAAATGGTTTTAGTTTTTGCCCATTGAGTATGATGTTGGCTGTAGGTTTGTCATATAAGGCTTTTATTATGTTGAGGTATGATCTCTCTATTTCCACTTGGCTGAGAGTTTTTATCAGAAAAGGGTGTTGGGCCAAAGCCGGTTTGGCTCAGTGGATAGAGCGTCGGCCTTCGGACTGAAAGGTCCCAGGTTCGATTCCGGTCAAGGGCATGTATCTGGGTTGCGGGCACATCCCCAGTAGGAGATGTGCAGGAGGCGGCTGATCGATGTTTCTTTCTCATCGATGTTTCTAACTCTCTATCTCTCTCCCTTCCTCTCTGTAAAAAATCAATAAAATATATTAAAAAAAAAAAAGAAAAAAAAAAAAGAAAAGGGTGTTGGATTTGGTCAGGTGCCTTTTCTGCATCAATTGATGTGATTTTTGTCTCTCAATTTGTTTATATTATGTTTCATGTTTATTGATTTGCAGATATTATACCAGTCTTGCATCTCTGGAATAAATCCCACTTGGTCATGGTATGATCTTTCAGATGTAATGCTGGATCCGGTTTGCTAGAATTTTGTTGAGGATTTTAATTTTAGCATGTATGTTCATCAGGAATATTGGCCTGTAATTCTCTTTCTTTATAGTGTTTTCATCTGATTTTGGGATTAGGGTAATGCTGGCTTCATAGAAAGAGCTTGGAAGTGTGCCTTCCTCTTGAGTTTTTTGGAATAGTTTGAGGATAGCTTTTAGTTCTTCTTTGAATGTTTGGTAAAATGCCCCTGTGAAGCCATCAGTTCAGGGCTTTTGTTTGCTGGAAGCTTTTTGATTTTTGTTTCAATTTCATCAGTAGTTATCGGCCTATTCAGGTTTTTTGATTCTTCCTGATTGAGTTTTGGAAAGTTGTATTTTTCTAGGAATATGTACATTTCGTCAAGGATGTCCAGTTTGTTGGACTAAGAGTAGTTTGTAGTATTTTTTTACAATCCTTTGTATGTCTCTGGGATCGATTGTTACTTTACCTCTCTCATTTCTGATTTTGTTTATTTGGGTCCTCTCTCTTTGTTTCTTGGTGAGCCTGGCTAGACGTTCATCATTCTTGTTTATCCTTTCAAAGAACCAGCTCTTGGTTTCATTGATCTTTTGTATTGTATTTTTGGTCTCTATGTCATATATTTCTGCTCTGATCTTTATTATTTCCTTCCTTCTGGTTCCTCTGGGGTTTTCTTGTTGCTCTCTTTCTAACTCTTTAACTTGCAAGGTTAGGTAATTTATTACCATTTTTTCTTGTTTTTTTGAGGTAGGCCTGTAGAGCTATAAACTTCCCTCTCAGGACTGCTTTCTCTGTGTCCCATAGATTTTGGATTGTTATGTTTTCATTGTCATTTGTTTCAGGATGCATTTTATTTCTTCTTTGATCTCTTTGGTAACCCAATCCTTGTTTAATAGCATGCTATTTAGCCTGCAAGTGTTTTATATTTTTCATCGTTTTTATTGTAGTTGATTTCTGATTTTATGCCATTGTGATCTGATAAGATGTTTGGTATGATTTCTATCTTCTTGAATTTGAAGAGACTTTGCCTGTGTCCTAAAATGTGGTCTATCTTTGAAAATGATAACTTCTTAAGGAAAAATGATAACTTTTTAAGGAAAAATAAAATTTTAAAACTATTTCTGAGATTTTTTTTTGGTAGTTATGGTTCTTGAGTTGAGAAGAAAGGTTTTGTAAAATATGAATACTTACACCTTCTATTACCAAAAGTATAAGTCATACACTCCCAAGGGTCGGTAGTGTGATTCTTAGATAATATGCTTCTAGAAGTTAAGTGTTAGAGGTCAGGAATGATTCCTTTTGGTGGGTTGGTGCTTTTTGGTGCTTTTTACTGTTAATGTCCTATTTTCTTGATCTGGGTGCTAGTTAGACAAAGTTACTGTTTATATTATTTTGTGTAAATATTTTCATAAGTGTTTTTATGAAAGCAACAGGAAATTAAACTTTTTAGATTCTCTCATTAAAAAATATCAGTCAGGCCCTAGCAGATTTGGCTCAGTTAATAGAGCATCAGCCTGCAGACTGAAGGGTTCCAGGTTTGATTCTGGTCAAGGGCACATTCCTGGGTTGTGGGCTCGATCCGGGAGTGGGGTGGGGTAAGGCGTGCAGGAAGCAGCCTATCAATGGTTCTCTCCCATCATTGATGTTTCTCTCTCTTCTTCTCTGAAATCAATAAAAAATATTTAAAAAAAAAAATATATATATCAGTCAGGTAGTTCACACACTCCTGATTGGGGGTTTAATCAGTATGTGCCCTGTCCCGTAATTGAAACGGTGTCATTCTGGTACACAGGATGACACTACAGCCAACTCAGTCATACCAGCCAGTGCTTGTCTTAGGTCATTTTTAAGAGGATAAACTCAGCCCTGGCCAGTGTGGCTCAGTTGGTTGGAGCATCGTCCCATATACCAAAAACGTGGTGGTTCAGTTCTGGTCAAGGCACATACAGGTTGCAGGTACAGTCCCTGATCAGGGTGCAAGGCAACTAATCAGTGTTTCTTTCTCACATCTGTGTTTTTTTCTCTCTTTCTCCTTCCTTCTCCCTCCCTCACTGCTTCCCCCTCTCTCTCCCTCTCTCCCTCTCTCTCTCTCTCTCTCACCCACCCCATCTCTAAAAGCAATTTTTAAGAATAAAATTTAAATTTTAAAAGAAGATAGCTTCTACCTTAACCGGTTTGGCTAAGTGGATAGAGCATCGGCCTGCGGACTGAAAGGTCCCAGGTGCGATTCCAGTCAAGGGCATGTACCTTGGTTGCGGGCACATCCCCAGTAGGGGGTGTGCAGCAGGCAGTTGATCGATGTTTCTCTCTCATCGATGTTTCTAATTCTCTAAACCTCTCCTTTCCTCTCTGTAAAAAAATCTGTAAAATATATTTTAAAAAATAAAAGAAGATAGCTTCAAACAAATTAAATAATTAAAAACCTAGGACTCGCCCAGCTGGTGTTGCTCAGTGGTTGAACATCAACCTATGATCCCTGTCAGGGCACATGCCTGGGTTGCGGGCTCAATCCCCAGTAGAGGGCATGTAGGAGGCAGCTGATCAGTGATTCTCTCTCATCATTGATGTTTCTGTCTGTCTCTCCCTCTCCCTTCCTCTCTAAAGTAAAAAAATATATATTTAATAAAGAAAACTAAGCCTCTCCGGTTTGGTTCAGTGGATAGAACATTGGCCTGTGGACTGAAGGGTCCTGGATTCGATTCCGGTCAAGGGCACATACCTTGGTTGTAGGCTCCTCCCCTGCGCTGGCCCTGGTCAGGGCTCATGCATGCAGGAGGCAGCCAGTCGATGTGTTTCTCTCATGTTGATATTCCTCCCTGTCTTTCCCTCTCTCTTCCACTCTCTCTCTAAAAATCAATGGAAAATATCCTCGAATGAGGATTAAAAAAAAGAGAAACATACTCTCAGATAGTAAAAATAGAGGAGTGTGTCCTCTTAACAGCAGCATATCCAAACACATTTGTGGGCCTAAAAGTACTCAATGAGTTAAGTTTCTATTTTATTCAAGAAACAATTTAAATGATGTAATTTTTAAATTTAATAATATGTTTCATGTAACCCAATGTACCAGACATATGTCATTTCAACATGTAGTCAATGTAAAACATTAATCATGAGATATTTTGCATTCCTTTTAGGTACCAGGTTGCCAGAATCCGCTGTATATTTCACTCTGATGACACATCTCAATTCTGACTGGCCACATTTCCAGTGTTCAGTAGCCACATGGGGTTCATGACTTTTCTGGTGGACAGTGCAGATCTAGACCCTTCCAGGAGAGGCGTGGGCTAGTATCTCCATAGGTCCCACACAGAGAGAGGGCCTTGCCATCTATTGAACACTTACTGTGTGCCAGGCACTGGGATTTATCTCCTTAAGTCCCAACGACAAGGCTGGGAGGTAGGGGGTGTTCAACCCATCTCATAGCTGAGACAACTGAGGCTCAGAGGGGTGAGTCACACAGTGGCTGGAACCAAGGCCCGCTGCCCCAGGCCTCTGCTGCCAGAGCCCTCAGGGGGAGGCTTAGGCCAGGAGAGGACCAGCGAGGTGGCAGCTGGAGCAGGGTCTCTCTTCATGAGCCCACTCCCTCATGTAATGTCTTTATTCATAAATTATTACATTTGTCAGAGCTGTTCACGGGTAGTATTCACTGTTCATCGGTAAAATCTGCCACCCAAAGCATTGTCCACTTGACACTCCTTTCTTTTTGCACCCACTCCCAAGGCCTGTTTCTTCATTCTTTACCACCCAGCTCAGGTGTGACTTCCTTTGGAAGGCTGCTTCTCCCCAAACTCTCCCTCCTCCTTTGTGCACTGGTTGTCACTCCCTGTGCGCCTTGTAAGCCTTTTACAAGCCGTTTTATCACATCTCTCAGACTCTCTTGCGGGGGCTCTTTACCTGTTTTGTGCTGTGGACCCTTTTGGCAGCCTGGGAAAGCTTCTGGTGCACGGGCTCGCCAGGGAACTGACAGCAGCAAGGTGAATGGTGTCCTCCCGGCGTTCTGAAATACAGATTTTGAATCATGTGTCTAATCCCGCTTTGGTCCATAGCATTTGAAGCTTTTGATGTAGCTTGAATTTTGTATTCCTTATATGAGTCTGTTCTCTGCTTTTAAAAAATAATAATAAAGGAATGTATTTCCACTGTTCTGTGACTTAAATGCATTGGGTTGTCTGTTCCATATCTAGGCCAAAACAACTTCATGAAATCCCAGCCTTTTACTGTCCTGACAAAAACAAGGTGAATTTCATTCCTAAAAGCGGCTCTGCTTTCTGCCTCGTCAGCATCCTCAAGCCACTCCTTCCCACGCCAGATCTGACCCTCAAGGGCTCTGGCCACAGCCTGACAGTCACCACTGGCATGACGACCACTCTGCTGCAGCCCATCGCCATGGCCTCCCTGTCTGCAGAGCAAGACCGAGTCTCCCGAGGAACAAGTACAATCCTGCCCTCGGCCTCGCTACTCACACCACCCGAACCGATTGAGGAGGCTGAAGGGTAGGTCCCAGTGCTGGTAGCCACTGCTCCCTCAGATCTCCTGACTGTGATGGCACCTTGCGCTCAGTTGGCTGTGCCGTGCTCAGGCTTCCAGGGTGACTCCCAGCACAGCTTCTGGAAGAACACCCTCTGGTGGCCGGCTCGCTGGAAGGCCAGCCCTCAGTGCTTAGCCTGCTTTCTCCTAAAGCGCCAGTTGAAACAGAAAGGTCTCATTCTTTGCTTTTGGTGGGCTGATACCACTTTTTTGTTGTTGTTGTTTTGTTTTCAAATTAAACTTCGTTAGAAACACAAACACAACAAAACACTGACCCCTGCAAATGATTCCTGGAGACGTGAATGATGCTGCAAGAACCATCTTTTATATGATAATGACTATTTTATAAAACCAATGTGACATTTTCTGAAACATAGCAAACGGATGTTCAAAAGAGTCTTTGGTGGCCTCTGTTTCTTGTTTCCCTTTCTCAGTGTGTGCTTTTCTCAGCTGTTTTCAGCTTTGGGACCAAAGGGATTGTTGACATTTTCCCAGCAATCTTATTCTCATGACTGTGTTCTCCTCCCAAACAAGAATTGATAAGTAAATGCGTTGAACAAGTATATAAAAAAAGAAATAAAAAGCAATATTAGTACATGATGTGATTTATGTTTTTTGATGTCAGAAGTTTGTGCTTTGGGTGAAATATTTGTAAAACTGCTGTTCTCTTCACTACTCCTGTGTACATTCCACCATGTGCTCAGAAAAATTGTAGTCTGGAGATGAGTGCTTAACAAGTTCTCACCCATCATTGGAAGTTGGTTTGAAAGTCAGTGAGCCAATAGGAAGCTGCCCAGTGTTGGTTGCTAGCTAGGAGTAATAAGCCCCTTTGGTTTTCTGCACAGTATTTGTCACATGATCTCCTTTTACCACAGGTATCATCCTACCTTTCATCATCACTGTATCATAGTCCCAGAGATCCCCAAATGATGGTGCATGGATTTCCTTCTTTGCTTTTGTGATGTTGTTGTCTTGTGGACTTGGTCCGGGTTGGTAGTTTGCCAGGAGCCTAATCCATTGAATAGCAATCCGTAGTCACAGAATCTTGCGACTGACAGTTTCTTTATGTAGTTGGCACTGAGATGGTACCTACAGGTTTTGCTAGTTGTCCGTCCAACCTTCCATACAGTGAGGAGTACAGGCAAAGGAGAGCTTTGGGGCATAAGCAACAGGAACCTTTGAAAAATCCATCCTTTTTGGATTTAGGCTCATCCTAGTACAGTTACTGCCAGTGTCACGTGTCAGCAGTATTCCATGTCTGGAATGTGGTAGTAAAATTAAGGAGCAGCTCTTTTAAAAAGTGAGTTCCAGCAAACTCTGTTGGTAACAAGCATCCTTCTGAGGTCTTCATATACTACCTTATGATGCAATGATGTAATGTTCTTATACATATTAAAGGGAGAAAAATTTAAATACTTGTAAAAGGAGACAGTTTAGAGGGTTAGCTATGTCAGTTTATCCAGACATATCCCATCAAGGAAAACCTAGTGGTAGCAATACATCTTCTGAAAGGACTTCTTATACTCATGCAACTTTAAAATATCTAAGTAATGAAAAGCATACCCTGTTAAAGTTAAAATGGAGATGTATTTAGGGAAGTTAGATAAATTCAAACATAAGTCTGTCAGGTTAGTTGGTGAGACTGATGAATTTTGGTACCTTTTTTGTTCAAAATTAATTTACTTGGAATTTGTACATGTGGCTTCTAAGTCAGTTATATAGGATCTAAATGTTCTGGTTGGTTTAATGAGAACTTTGATTCTTTGCCTTTGACTTGACCATTTCCCCACAGAGAACTGCTCTGTCAGCAGTACAGGAGAGGTAAAACTGAGGTCAGGTGAGTTAGTGTAAAAGGCAGGAATAGGAAGTTAAAGACAAGGTTAAAAATCACGCACACAGCTATTTTTGGATGACTTGAGTTCTGTTAAATCCGTGTTCTTTTCTTTGCCTCACACTTAACTTTCTTGTGTCTCCGTCCCTACAAGTTACAAGGGTATTTTGAATGCCACTTTGTAAAGTTTTTCCTTTTACTCTGTTGTGCATGTTGGTCTAATTCACATTTTTCTGTAGAGTTTCATATATCCTTAACCTAAAGTAATTTAAATAGGAATGGGATAACTTTATTATTTACATAGTCTTGTAAATGGAACTTGTAATGTCTGGTTGTAAGGAGAATGTGAATTTGTAGGTAAATGAATTGTATGGCAACCAAGCATATCCCGTGGATTTGGGAGAGATAGAGCCTGAGATTTGAAGAAGAAGAAAAAAAGGTGCAAGGTACAAACAACTTTAACTGCCAGTGCCAAAGGGCTAATTTTATACATAGGAGTTTTATCGCAATCTTGAAAAAATACTAAGGTCCATTCCACTTTATTTAACCCTAAGTTCCAAGGGGTTGATTTTTTTTAAATGGGTCTCAATACTGTTTTCTAAAATAACATTCTACAATTGTTATTCTATAGAAAACTGTACAGGAAGTCAGTAAATTAGAATAACTTCAATGGGAATATAATTTAATTTTTTTATAATTTTAAATAAATGTGTTTCCATTGTAGTAAAAGAAATAGGTGGCATGTATATTTTGGCAAAAGGAGCTATTATGTGGTTATTTATTTTATCAGTCTTAAGTTATTTTTTTTTACCCTTAAAGAATTTGTTGTGATAAAAACATGTAAATTTACTGGTTTTGATCATGACTGAGTCTGTTGCTTGTCGTGTTTTTGTGTGAGCAGTTATGTTTTAAAAAATATTTGTTTTTCCTTTTTGGTTAATATTGTGAGCATGGATGCCAAAATTATTTTTGCTCTAGATTCTTCATGTTGTTTAAAATGTTTCTTACACTTATGACAAGCCAAATGCGCCTTTTAGAAGGTGCTATTGCTACCTGTGATTAAGTGTCAAGAAAACAGGCTTTTTCTTTTCAATGGTTGGCTTTTACTCGAAGGTATTAAAAAAATGTCAGAATTTGTAGCCTTGGGGGTATGTCCAAGTTTAGGACTGAGTTCTCAAGATTTTCTTTTGTTAAGGAAATAACAGGAAAATTGCCACTACTGAATTTGCTGTACTATTCTAAACTTAAGATTCATTCCTTGATGCATTGACCAGTGGAGGTAACCGGACCAGTGGAAGTGCTGAATTTGCATTAAACTAAGAACTTAACTCCGCACTTTAAGGTTTAAGTTTTACTCTGCCTTAAATTCATGATAGGCAGAGCAGCCCTGAACAATATATGTTGTATATGCAATCCTGTTATGGAATATAATTTATGTTTTTTTAAAGTTTGTATCTTTCATCTCTGTTGAAGCTGTTTAAATCTTTTTTAAATGCAATTTTTAAAATTTTTGTTTTTCTAATAAATTTCTCCCTAAAAGAACAGCATTTCCAATGGTAATAAATAGTTACTATATACTTATGTATTCCCTGTATCTGAACACTTATTGCTGCCTCACAAGAAAATAGAACTTTTATGTTAAAATAAAGTCTGTCCTTATTGAGTTTTTTCCTGTGTACTTTTATGGATATTGCCTCAAATTTTCTTTTCATACACCTCGAGCCTGAATTAACTTTAAATAGTATATTCTTTTTCACATAATGAGAGAAAAATGTGTTTGTGTTAAGTAGCAGGATATATAATATGGTCACTTGTTACTTCCTTGTTTTCTCCTTCCTTGCTCTAGAACTTCAGGTACCTGATCTTAGTGGTAAAAGCTAAGCAAACTTAACACAGGCTTTTATTGAAAGCATATTACATACAGTTATACACTTTGTAAATGATACGAATTTTAAAAAGACATAGACTTTGCTCTCAAGTTTAAAAATCAGAAGGTGAAAAGAGGCCTACATTACTGCAACAACGGATAAAAAGTGAGAAGTAGATTCAGCAAAGTCCACTGAAAAGCGTGGTGGGAGTTCAGACGCTGCTTCCACTTGTGAATCAGGGAAGGGCTCCATAAAGAAGTGACATCTGGAATGGGCCTGAGATTCATCAGTTTTTCAATATGTAGCGGTTGCTAGGATCTCATTTTATCCAGAGTTAAAATAAGACTTTTTATCTCTGAACCAGGTCAGAAAGCAAGTTCTGCGAAATTACCTTTATCTTATTATTAATAAACTAATCACTAAACACACAAATAACAACACACAAACAACCAAGATGATACATGGATAGCTGAGCGGACATTATCGCCATGCTGCGTTTAAATATGTCTGAAATCCCAGGGCTGCTCGATCTCATTCCAAAGGAAGAAGACTGGCAGGAGGCTTACAGTGTGACTTAATAAGAATAGAGATGAAAGTTATTCTGCATGAGGTGGAGTTGAGAATTGAAGAGTAGAAGGAAAGGGACTGAGGAAAGAAGGACTAAGAGGAGAGAGAAGAAAGGTGGGAAGACAAGTAGGGAGTGGATGAAAGAACAGGAAAGAACATGGGCACAAAAAACTCACCAGCGCTTCCTAAGCCAAAATGCAAGAGCTGTCAGAAGCACCAGGGGCACCATCACTGCCAAGATGATCAAGCCCACGGAGTTATGATGATGTTCTGTGGGTTTGGGTGCACACAAGGTGTCATTTCAAATCCACCCCCTGTTTACTGCATCCCTGGTCTATCTTTTTTATTACAGTGTTCGCCTCACTATCTTTGTTCTTGTTTCCTCTCTCCTCCCTCTTCAGAGTTGAATCTTTCATCTAACCCTCAACATCTTCCTACTTCTGCAGGTCTCTCATTTTCAATTCTTCTCTTTATTGAATTAATTATTTTCATTCTTTTGGGTCTGGAGTCCATAAATCCCAATTTTTTTACTTGGCTCTCCTGCTCTGCTGTGGACCATCTATTCCCTTTCCCAGTGATGACCCCAGTTTTTCTTACCCAAGTGGAGGAGGATGTCCTGGCCTCCTAGGCTGCTATGTTTCACCCGGCAATACAGGCCAGATGTCTCAGTGGCTTCCACATCCAAGAAAACCTGAAGGTACCATGTCCCATCAGCATTGGGCAAGATACCACTTTGTTGAGTGCCCTGTTATACCTGTTCATCTCGTATCCACTTTATCCAAATTGGCTTTGGGTGGAAGCCAGAGGCATGACAAACCAGCATCTCATGGTCAGGACCAGGATTGGGGCCAGTGGACAGCCAGGCCTCTGGTTTTACTGCAGAGAACAGGAAAGATCCTATATAATAAAAGTGTAATCTAGGTGTCCGACCATTCATTAGACCCTTCAGTCCAATTCTTCCACCAGTCGCTATGACGTGCACTGACCACCACTGCGCAGATGCTTAAACCGGTAGGTTAGCTTGCTGCTGGGGTCCGGCCTATCAGGACTGGGTGAGACGGGCTGGACACAACCTGGAGCCCTCCTGCTGTTCCTCCCTGGCCGGCCCATGTCCCGCTGTCCCTCCCGGCTGGCGCACCTGATCACCCCGATCGCCAGCCAGGCCAAAGGACCTCACCTGTGCACGAATTGGTGCACTGGCCTCTAGTATTAAGATAAAGATTCTAACACAGACTTGGAGGTTCATATCTTCACATCAGTTTAGACGGACACATCTATGACATGCTGGGAATGCACCCATTATCCTTCTCCCTTTTGACTCCTTATCTCAATTTAAAGGGATGGTGAGAAGGTGTAATTTTAGAAAATTCTTGGAGGAAGGATATGGGACTAACCTTGTCTCTGGAGATCTGCCTTCCCTGCATCAAGAATACTCAAGAGGAATCGTGGGCAGGTGTCACTTAGAATGCTCTATACTTCTCTCTTGGTGACATGGTACTGATTGAATACTCTGCTCACATCCTGAGCTCTTGTTCCACCCTTTGGAGATGGCAGCCATGAATTGTTCTGGAATTGCAGGAGATCTGATCCTTGATAAGCGAATCCATAGATGCCTACTATGGCTCGCTCAGGGTGCAGCTCACATCCTAATGTTATCTGAATCTCAAAGGGATCTAGGAAAGAGAGATTGTAAATTAGAGGGAATAAAAAGATGAAATTAGTGGAAGCAAAAGAAATAGAAGTAGTTTGGGGGTTTTGAAATAATGGAACAAAGTCTGGTTTGATCAAAAGTTCAGAAAAAGTGTAATTGGTGGTAGTTGAAAGTGGAAGAAATAATGACTTTTTTTTAGAAATTGAAGTGAGCAAATTGTTGAAAGAAGGTGACATAAATGGCGAGAGCATAAGACACTGGGGGGTAGGGGAAGCTGGGGGATTGTCAAGGGGGGGAAAGGAGACATATGTAATACTCTTTGTAATACTTTAAGCAATAAAAAAACAAAAAAAATTCAAAAAAAAAAAAGAATAAGGAAGCACGTAGTGTGAGAGTTGTGATTATAATAACCTAGGGCCGTGGTTCTCAACCTGTGGGTCACGACCCCTTTGACGGTCGAACGACCCTTTCACAGGCGTTACCTAAGACCATCCTGCATATCAGATATTTACATTACGATTCATAACAGTAGCAACATTACAGTTATGAAGTAGCAACGACAATAATTTTATGGTTGGGTCACAACATGAACTGTATTTAAAGGGCCAGAAGGTTGAGAACCACTGACATAGGGTGAATGAAATGCAATAGGTTACAATAAATGTACAGACTTAATGCTGAAGGGATTGAATGTACGGGAAAATTGGAATAAGGAACTCATTGAGACACACACACCCCTCACGCAGCACATTGCACCTCCCCATTTTGGGAATTGAACTTACATTTAAACTTCCATTGACTGGCATGTCTGTGAATTTCTTGAGGCATGGGTAACCCATGGAAGAATTCTTCCAGTTCTTTTATCTCTTCCTTGCTCAAGTTGCCCTTGGACCAAGGACGCAGGAAAATAATTCTGCCAGAGTTGGTGTCCCAGCCATGAGTCTGCAAGTCATCCAACCAAGCAGAGTTCTGAATTTTCACCCAGGAATGGTTGTAGAAGGATGAGGTGTGGATCATTTTGAAGGAGATCTCCTCCTGGAAGGCTGTGGCAAAAGAACAGATAGAATGAGGAGAAGAAAAGGCATCGGGAAGGAGAGAGAATGAAGAAATTTGCCAGGAAGGAAACACTCAGAATCAGGAGATAAGGGAAGCCATGGCTACCTCAGCAGACATTCAGCTGCCCAGGGCCCCAGGCTTTACAAACAACCTTCAGAAGGGCACAGTCCCAGAGTACGGGATACTCAGAACTACGCTGACATTCTCCTCTCCAGGTATGTTCTGGGGACACCACACCACACAGGAACACACACACTCCCTTTTGCACCCAACAGGGCAGTTGCCAGAGTTCTTACCATCTTCATTGTCACCAGCTGCGAGGAGAACTGCTAGCAATGAAATTTGCAGAAACAGCATTTCATTTACTGATGTTATTTCTTTTCAGGAAAGTCTGTCTTTATCTTCTGTTTTAAATAGAACTGCTCCACAATACATCAATTCTGACTTCCTTCTTCTACCAACAAACCACCACCAAAAGAAAAAAAACAAAAAAACAGTGCTCCTTCCCTAAACTCCAGGCACTGATTCAGCCTCTCATTTCCCCTCCACTTCTGACTTTCAACTTCTCCCCTTGCTACCAGCCTTCATTCTGTTCATCTTTCTCTAATTCAGCTTCTCTGGACTAAGTGTTATGCGCCATTGAAAAGTCAAGTTTACCTCTGGGGACATTTTCTTCGCATTCAGACAATGAAAGCATAAAACCAAAAGGCTTTCCAATTCCCACCTGATGTTCTGTTGTCCCTGCTCTTCCCTGTCACTCTGTCCTCTTGCCAAATTTAAATTTTCTTCAAATACACTCTTCTGTCTGAGTGTATTCATATCGCCCCATCACATTCATATCTCTGACATCTCATTGGTTTTTTTTCATTTTGAGTTTCAGAATCTCCCTATTGGCCTGTGTAACAGTATAAACTACTACTCCATTATCCTTAGGGAAGAACCAGTAGCAATCACAGAGACCACAGGAACCTGGAAACATAAAGAAAAATCTCCTCTGACTTTCAATGATAAATACCCAAATGAATACTTACCCCAAAGTCACTCAGAACCTGCCTGGATACAAGCACCTTGTAACACTCGTGAGTATCTAGTGGTCTACAGGCAATTACTTAATGCAAGGAGCTTTTATTCTACTTTAGACGCAAACATGTAAAATAAAGACTATAATCCTTGGTGTGCAGGGTTTTATTATAATACTAGTAGCCCATCGTACGATATCGTGAGCAGTAGGCCCCCAGCTGCTTCCATGGGATCTATGCAGCTTATGTGGGAGGGGGAGGTGAGCCATCGACACCCACAGGAGGTATTAAAAAATGGCAGAATTTGTAGCCTTGGGTATGTGCAAGATTTGGACTGGGTTGTCAAGATTTTATTTTTTTAAAGGAAATAACAGGAAAATCGCCACTACTGCATTTACTGAACTATTCTAAACTTAAGATTCATTCCTTTATGCTTGGACCAGTGGAGTGAACCAGTCAGTGGAAGTGCTGAATTTTCCTGTGTACTTTTATGAATATTGCCTCAAATTTTCTTTTCTTACACCTCGAGCCTGAATTACTTATAAATAGCATATTCTTTTTCACAAATTGATAGAAAAATGCGTTTGTGTTAAGTAGCAGGATATATAATACTAGAGGCCTGGTGCACAAAAATTTGTGCACTTGGGGGGGGGGGCGGAATCCCTCAGGGCGGCCTGTGCCCTCTCGCAGTCTGGGACCCCTCAGGGGATGACCACTTGCTGGCTTAGGCCTGCTTCCCAGGGGATTGGGCCTAAGATGGCAATCAGACATCCCTCTGACAGCCCAGCAGCCCTTGGGGGATGTCCACTTGCCAGCGGGGAGCAGGCCTAAGCTGCAGTCGGACATTCTTAGCGCTGTTGAGGAGGCAGGAGAGGCTCCCACCACCACCGCTGTACTGGCAGCCATCAGCCTGGCTTGTGGCTGAGCAGAGCTCCTTCCATGTGAGAGCACACTGACCACCAGAGGGCAGCTCCTTCATTGAGTGTCTGCCCCCTGGTGGTCAGTGTGTGTGATAGTGGCCAGTCATTCCCAATCTTTCTGCTGTTAGGGTCAGTTTGCATATTACCCTTTTACTAAATAGGATAGAGGCCTGGTGCATGGGGGTGGGGGGGCTGGCTGATTTGTCCTGAAGGGTGTCCCAAATCAGGGTGGGGGTCCCGCTTGGGTGCCTCGCCAGCCTGGATGAGGGGCTGATGGCTGTTTGCAGCTGGTTGCACCCCCTTCAGGGTGGGGGTCCCCACTGGGGTTCCTGGCCAGTCTGGGTAAGGGGCTGAGGGCCGTTTTCAGGCTGGTGGGTGACTGAAGCTCCCAACCTCTCCTTTTTTTATTTTTTTAAAATTTTTATTCTGGGATTTACTTACCTTCTATGTCTGTCACTGGAGCTGAGAGCTGGCTTTAGCTCTGAGGCCGGCTCCAGCTTGAGGCCTCGGCTGCTGAATGCAGGTATCTGGGTTTGTTTGACTTCTATAATTGAAACACTGTTGCGGTCCTGCTCGCTGAGGCCCGGCTGGCTGAAAGCAGGTATCTGGGGTTTGTTTAGCTTCTATAATTGCAACATTGTTGCTTAGAGTGCAGCTCAAAGCCCAGCAGCAGCAGGCAGGGAAACTTGGCTTCCTCCATCGCCAGGGCAACCAAGCCTCATGTTCGCTTCAGCTGCCTGGCTGCCGGCCGCCATCTTGGTTGGCAGTTAATTTGCATATCGCCCTGATTAGCCAATGGGAAGCATATTGGAGGTACGGTTAATTACCCTATTTGTTTTTTATTAGATTAGACTAGAGGTCTGGTGCACAAAAATTTGTGCACTTGGGGCGGGGGCCTCCTCAGCCCGGCCAGTGCCCTCTCGCAGTCTGGGATTCCTCAGGGGATGACCACTTGCTGGCTTAGGCCTGCTCCCCAGGGGATTGGGCCTAAGATGGCAATCAGACATCCCTCTGACAGCCCAGCAGCCCTCAGGGGATGTCCACTTGCCAGCGGGGAGCAGGCCTAAACTGCTGTCGGACATTCTTAGCGCTGTTGAGGAGGCAGGAGAGGCTCCCACTACCACCGCTGTACTGGCAGCTGTCAGCCTGGCTTGTGGCTGAGCAGAGTTCCTCCATGTGGGAGCTCCCTGAACACCAGAGGGCAGCTCCTGCATTGAGTGTCTGCCCCCTGGTGGTCAGTGTGTGTAATAGTGACCAGTCATTCCCAGTCTTTCTGCTGTTAGGGTCAGTTTGCATATTACCCTTTTACTATATAGGATAGAGGCCTGGTGCACGGGTGTGGTCTGGCTGGTTTGCCCTGAAGGGTGTCCCGGATCAGGGTGGGGGGTCCCGCTTGAGTGCCTGGCCAGCCTTGGTGAGGGGGCTGATGGCTGTTTGCAGCTGGTCACACTCTCTTCAGGGTGGGGGTCCCCACTGGGGTGTCTGGCCAGTCTGGGTGAGGGGCTGAGGGCCGTTTTCAGGCTGGCGGGTGACTGAAGTTCCCAACCTCTCCTTTTTTTCTTTTTTTTTTTATTCTGGGATTTATTTACCTTCTATGTCTGTCACTGGAGCTGAGAGCCGGCTTTAGCTCTGAGGCCGGCTCCAGCTTGAGGCCTCGGCTGCTGAAAGCAGGTATCTGAGTTAGTTTGGCTTGTATAATTGCAACACTGTTGCGGTCCTGCTTGCTCTAGCTCTGATGGCTGAAAGCAGGTATCTGGAGTTTGTTTAGCTTCTATAATTGCAACATTGTTTCTTAGAGTGCAGCTCAGAGTCCGGCAAGGCATGCGGGGAACCTTGGCTTCCTCCATCACTGGAGCAAGCAAGCCTCCTGTTTGCTTCAGCTGCCTGGCTGGCAGCCGCCATCTTGGTTGGCAGTTAATTTGCATATCACCCTGATTAGCCAATGGGAAGCATGTCGGAGGTACGGTTAATTACCATGTTTGTCTTTTATTAGATTAGATTGTCACTTGTTACTTCCTTGTTTTCTCCTTTCTTGCTCTAGAACTTCAGGTACCTGATTTTAGTGGTAAATGCTAAGCAAACTTAACACAGGCTTTTATTGAAAGCATATTACATACAGTTATACACTTTGTAAATGATACGAATTTTAAAAAGACATAGACTTTGCTCTCAGGCTTAAGAATCAGAAGGTGAAAAGGGGCCTACATGACTGCAACAACGGATAAAAAGTGAGAAGTAGATTCAGCAAAGTCCACTGAAAAGCGTGGTGGGAGTTCAGACGCTGCTTCCACTTGTGAATCAGGGAAGGCCCCCAGAAAGAGGTGACATCTGAAATGGGCCTGAGGTTCATCAATTTTTCAATATGTAGCGGTTGCTAGGATCTCATTTTATCCAGATTAAAATTAGACTTTTTATCTCTGAACAGGTCAGAAAGCAAGTCCTGCAAAATTACCTTTAGCTTATATTAATAACTAACTGTTAAACACACAAATAACATGTAAGCAACCAAAGTTGTACGTGGAGAGCTGAGCGGACATTATCGCCATGCTGCGTTTAAATATGTCTGGAACCCCAGGGCTGCTGTAATCTCATTCCAAAGGAAGAAGAATGGCAGGAGGCTCACAGTGTGACCTAATAAGAACGGAGATGAAAGTTATTCTGCATGAGGTGGAGGTGAGAACTGAAGAGTAGAAGGAAAGGGACTGAGGAAAGAAGGACTAAGAGGAGAGAGAAGAAAGGTGGGAAGACAAGTAGGGAGTGGATGAAAGAACAGGAAAGAACATGGGCACAAAAAACTCACCAGCGCTTCCTAAGCCAAAATGCAAGAGCTGTCAGAAGCACCAGGGGCACCATCACTGCCAAGATGATCAAGCCCACGGAGACTTGATGATGATCTGTGGGTTTGGGTGCACACAGGTGTCACTTCAAACCCACCCTCTGTTTACTGCATTTCCCTGGTCCGTCTTTTTTATTACAGTGTTTGCCTCACCAGTCTTTGTTCTTGTTTCCTCTCTCTTCCCTCTTTAGAGTTGAATCTTTCATCTAACCCTCAACATCTTCCTACTTCTGCAGGTCTCTCATTTTCAATTCTGCTATATATTGAACTATTTTCATTCTTTTGAGTTTGGACGCCATAAATCCCAAATTTTACTGGGCTGTACTGTTCTGCTCGTAGACCGTTATCCACTCCTATTCCAGTGTGGGCCCCAGGCTTTCTTACCCAAGTAGAGGAGGATGTCCTGGCCTCCTAAGCTGCTATGTCTCACCCGGCAATACAGGCCAGATGT